TTCCATAGGCTGAAAATGATGTCCTGAGTGTAGATTTCTAGCTTATCCTGCTTTATTTTCTCTGAGCTTCCTAGATTTGAGATTTGAGATTTGATATCTAGCATTAATTTGGAGAAAATGATAGCCATCATTATTTCAAATATTTTCCCTTTTCTTTTTTTATTATGTACTTGGCACAGTCTCACTATGCAGCTCGGACTTGCGGTGCTCCTCCTGTTCTCAGCCTCCCCAGCACTGAGATCGCAGGTGTGCACCACCACGCCTGGTCTCGGAGGCTGACGCAGCATGCCCCAGGGGTGGCGCTGGCGCAGCACGTGGTGTTGGTCGGTCCAATCCTGGCCCTTTGTTTGCCTAAGCAGGCGCTTAGTCCACTGAGCTATCTCGCCAGCCCCATTTCTTCTTCTTCTGATTTCTCATGTAGCTGCTCTAAAGTTCCCAGATACAGTATTGTGTTTGCTTGCTTGTTTTCTCCCTTCCTTCCTTCCCTCCCTCTTTCTTCCTTCCATTCCTTTCTCTTTGCTTTTCTGTTTTGGATGCTCCTGTCAGGATGCCTGAGCTCAGAGGCTCTTCCCTCAGCCATGTGCCATCTCCTAAGATCCCTTCAAAGGCACCTGTGTGTCGGCTAATGCTGCTGAGTAGCAGCATTCGTAGGGTTTTTCTTAGACTATCCACCACACTGCTCACACTGCCATCTGCTCTCTGTGCTGTTTCCATGACGCCTGAAGTTTCTTCTTTGTGGCTATTTTAAATTCCCTGTCTTAGATCTGACCTGATGGTAAGATTTGTTCTTCTTCCTGATAACTGAACAAGTTGTTCTGCACACAAGGAGTGGCCGTGAACAGCCCTTCGCAGGTGGTGGTCAGGAGTGTGGGGTGGGTTCTGGCGGCCAGTAACGGTCTTGGCTGTGATTCCTGAGCTTCTCAATACCCCATCCTTCCTTGTAGCCAGGGCGGCTGGAGATGGCTGTTGGGTAGCTTGTTTAGCTGCAGGTAACTCACAGGCCAGGCTCTGGTTAGCCAGTGTCCCCACCAACCCCTGAGGAAGAGCAGGGTGCCCTGGTGTGTGGAGGTGGCTCCTTTTTTGCCTCCTGTGGACACAGGTAGGTTTTCCCGGATATTTCCTGCAGAACCAGAAGGTCTTCCACGGGTGAATCTCCTGAGGTTGGCCTTGTGTCTGGGTTGCCCTAGACCCCCACTGCCTGCCTGCCCCTGGTGATTGCTCCCCCTGGTCCAGTTCCCTGGGTACACTCTCAGGCTCTGTGTCTCCCGCCATTACCTGGCAGCAGCTGTGGTGGTGAGCAAGGTTTACCCGGTTTGCCAGGTCTGAGAAGCTTAGTTGGTTTTCAGCTTATTAAGCTTTTTATGTGTCTTGGGGTGAAGTGGTGCCTTTCAGTGTCTTAGGTGCCAGGTGAAGCACCCACCTCCTGTGAGATGGAGTGTGTGTGTCTGTGGGTTTACAAGCCAAGTGGAGTCCCATGTGACTCACCTTGTCTATCCTTCTACTGAGAAGCGTTTGTATTTTTAATTTTTACCTTACTTCAGGGATCTGCAGTAACTTGTCCAGTTGGGTGCTTTTGTCTCTGTCCCCCGCCCCAGCCTTTGTCAACCAGTTTCCTTTGTACTGAAGCCAAATAAAATTTTGATATTTGATTTTTCAACTTTCTTAAAGAGTTCACAGTTACAAGTGAAAATATAAAATACAGAGCATCATCCAGAAACACAAGAAAATCTTAGGGCTTTTGTTTGCGCCCTGTGCTTGTTCTCTGGTTTGTGAGACAGCTTTCCCATGAAGCTGACTCTTTGCATTGTAGAGTGCTTGGGCGACAGCAGAGAGTGCCAGTTAGTGATGGTGTCTGCTTCCTCTCTTGTAGTTATCTGCTGTATGAATCTATCTATCTATGTATTTATCTATCTATCTGTCTGTCTCACACTGTTTCTAGGTGTGTATTTCTAAAATTTTTAACCAAAAATAAGGCCATATTTGTAAAATTAGCAGCAGCGTGTTCACGTGATGAATGCTTTGCAAATGGCTTTGCAGCTAATTTTCCACTGAAAAATCACTGCGCTCCGTGTGAGATGGTGCTGTGTGCACACGCGCATTTTTGCAGAGCCCTGCACCTGGCAGTCTGTAGGAGAGACTTGGTGATACTGGGGAGCCATGCAGAAGGGCAGAGAGCAAGCTCAGGACTGGCGCTTTCTGTTCGGGGTGCACATTGCCTCGGAACACCATTGCTTCTCCTCAATGCCATTTTGAGAGATGGGGGGTGTCCTATGGAGCAGACAGTGCCACCTTGTGGGAGAGTTGACAGTCTTCTGGGTGCTGCATTTGTCCCAGCTTTCCCGGAGTTCAGCAAACACTGGAAGGAGCATCTTCCGAGCAAGTCTTGGGCATGCCTGGGTCTCCTTGGCATGTTCCTAGACATGGTGCTTGCAGCTCGGACATGAGGAAAGGACGTTCAAAATCCTCCTTGTGACTGATTCTCAGCTTAATGGGAGTTTGCTTTCTTCTTTTGCGAGCTCTGATTTTTGTCTTTGGCTTATTTTGCCTTCAAAGTGTGTCTTTTTTCCCCATTGTCATTTGAAGTCCTATGGAAGGGATAGGAAGGCATTTTCCTCATGCCTCCTGCAAGAATTTTTCTAGTTCAGCTTTTTGTTTTGTGTCTGCTGTTTTTAACATAGGATTCATTTTTCCTTCAGCTAATTTTTTTTTTTTTTTTTTTTTTTTTTGTCATTTTTCAAGATACTCTTGCCAGAGCAGAAGTAAACATATGTTCAGGTTTTCTGCTTGGAGAACCATGCTCCTTTCTATATGTCTAATTCTTATAGAACTAGTTTGGGCATATCCACAGAACTATTTGTTAACGATTAGACAATTTTCTAATTATTGATGGTATCTGAAAAAGCCAATATTTTTTATGAATTTATTTTAAAATCAGCAGCCTTTTTCAAATTCTTACTCTAATTTTTTGTTTCTGCTTTGTTTTAATAGGTAAAAAATTATGTACTCATCTTTCCAATATCTACATGTCTTTATTTTTTATTTCTTTGGCTTAGTTTCTAGAATAGCGTTAGATAATAGCATGGATGTCCTGATTTTCTAAAATAAAAATTAATCTGTCGTTTTCTTCTTTCCAGTTTTAACACTTAACTTACTTGTCCTTCTCTATGACCAGTGAGGCCTGGTCTGAGCTGGCCGGGCCTCCTGCTGGCACAGGTGGGTGTGTGCACCCGTTTAGTGGCGCCCCTGGGCATACGCAGGCCAGTCCTCCGGGTGGCCTGCACTCCTGGCCTGAATGGGGCCCTGGGATGCACCTCCCACCTGTGGGGGGCGCCTGCAGTGGCTCTGCGTTGCTTCTCCTGCAGTAGTCACTGGAAGAGACACAGGTGCCACTCATGACAGACACGGAGGGAATGAATGCATGACTGCATCACTGGGTGACTCCGTGTGGTTAGGTGACTACTGGAGTGTGGACTTATGCACATCACCTTGTTACTTGCTGTTTATGAAAGCTGGGGTGGGAGAGGGTGACACGTTCTTGCCTCCTCCTTACTCCGGAGGCTTGGAGGAGGCCTTGGGATGGTAAGCACTGGGCCCCACAGCCTCTGTCCCATCTACCACCCCTCACTTTTTCAAGATACCCTGCTGCCCAACTTGAGGTGCCCTCTCCCAAAGGGGCTATGGTGGAGAGAGCTATGGTACCATCTTCCTGCTTCACAGGAGCAGGATGGCTTCTGGGGAGGGAGGGCAGGTGGTACCCTGGACCTAATGTGGTCCTTTGTGAGCTCCACGCATGGCAGATGCCCAGTGGGCCAGCTGATCTTCAGCAGATGCCCAAGCACCAGTGATACTAAGGGGAGGTGGGCTGCAGATGAGGGTACATGCTGGCTGCTGCAGGACATGTGGCCAGGAGGGTGGGGGTCAGCATCCTTTGAGGGTGCTCTTGTGCCAGGGTCAGGCATCTTGAGCTGAGGCTGGGAGCGAGTTCCAATCCTCTGGCACTTGCTGCAGTTGTGTCTATGTTCAGGGCTCCTCTGGGCGCACCCCGTCGGTCTCCCTCTCCTCTGTCCACACCCCGTCGGTCTCCCTCTCCTCTGGGCACACCCCGTCGGTCTCCCTCTCCTCTGGCCGCACCCCGTCGGTCTCCCTCTCCTCTGTCCACACCCCGTCGGGCTCCCTCTCCTCTGGGCGCACCCCGTCGGGCTCCATCTCCTCTGGGCGCACCCTGTCGTTCTCCCTCTCCTCTGGCCACGCCCCGTAGGTCTCCCTCTCCTCTGGACTCGCCTTGTCGGTCTCCCTCTCCTCTGTCTACACCTTGTCGGTCTCCATCTCCTCTGATCACATCCCGTCCATCTCCAGCTCCTGTGGCCACACCCTGGTTGGTCTCCATCTCTTCTGATTCTTCTTCACATCCAAGGGTTTCCTCTCATATGTCCCGTCCAGGTTTCCCAAAAGCTCTTCTCCTTTCTCTGCGTGCACTTCCCATGTGCAGCTGTTCATGTGTTGCTGGTGTGCTACAGGTGCTGGGGAGCTATGGGTGGGATGCAGGCTACCAGGATTGATGGCTCTAAATTGGTCTATTTGGCTTGGGTTGCTTCTCCTTTCACTATTCCCTGGAGCCAGAAACAAAGCATGTTATTCTTAGCTGAATTTATTTTTATCCAATGTGTTTTTCTTTCATTACATAAATCACAGAAGCCTGTGTTTTAAAACTCCAAATGTATATACATATATTTGGCACCAGGAATCAAACTCATGACCTCAAGCTTGCCAGGCAGGAGCTGTGGCACTGAGCTATAACCCCAGGTCCAACTGTAGTTTGAATTGTCAGGGGTCCCTTGTGGAGACCTTTAAGGCTATGGTCACCCTCATCAGAACAAGACAGTAGGTGGAAGGGAAGGCTGCGTGGACCCCACAGCTTCCTGGGCCAGTCCCTGGCTTTCATGTCTAACCAGTCTCTTGTTTTCCTTTTGGGGTGTTCATGGCTGCTCTGGAATCTCCAGGATGAAGTTCTAACTGTGATCCGCCGTGTGGATGACAACTGGGCGGAGGGCATGCTGGGAGACCGGATTGGGATCTTCCCCTTACTGTATGTGCAGGTAAGCCCTAACTTGCATGAGGGTCACCGTGTCAGCCTGGGAGCCCTGCATGTGGGAGACGAGGTCCTCCACAGGCCCCGAGGACCATGGCAGCCTTGGAGTTCTGCTCGTATCACCCACTGGCCTGCGAGAGTGGCTGTGGCCAGCAGGAGCAGCCACACCCCGTGCCCCACAGCCTTTCCCTCTCAGACTCTCACGTTGCACTGTTTATGTGAGAGGTCCCGTGTCCCGCTGTTCTGGCCTCCTAGCCCTGAGGTCCAGAGTGCCCCCCACTCTAGGCACATTGGGCACAACGCACAGGGCTGGCATAGACCCTGTCACGCCTGGAAGCTCTCCTGGCACCTGCGGCTTGAGCCAGTACTGAGACTCCCTCAATTCCCCTCTTCTCTGTCACCAGGAGACACTCTGTTCCTAGGAATACCCTTAGGGTAGTGGTGGGGAGGGACATCTGAAACACTGTCTCCTTGGGCTGTTTGTGTGGGTGTCTGATCCTGGTGTGTACATTGCTGTCTGTCAGAGCAAGTCCACATGCAGGCATCCTTTCATCCTGTCAGCTTTGAGGTCATCCTATACTAGTGTCCTTTGAGCTGGGTCTGACTGGGGGCCAAATGCTTCTCAGGAACTCGCCAGTCTTTCTGATAATGTGGCCACTGTGATTCGTGGATATGCCCACTGCACAAATGAGCAGACAGAGGCTCCAGGTAGCTGGGGGTTGCCAGCCCCACAGCAAGTTGAGGCAGTTTTGAGGTGGAGCATAGGCTCCACGCTCACCCCTTCACTTCCTGCCCGTGGTCCCCCAGGACCTCACTTCTCTCAGTGTCTCCCTCAGTGTGCACAGAATTCTTCCTTCCCCAGGGCTGTGGATGGTTGCAGATGTGTATCAAATGCATAGGTGTGGCATCCAGGACCTTCCTCTATCTTTCCTCATCCTCCCCCTTCCCTAAACATCTAGATGAGTATTTTCCCTCACATCTGCCCTGGTTAGGCTACCCAGGAGACCCTAAGTCCCTCTCCTGGCAGTGTCCACACACTGAGCAGCTGGCCCGAGCAGTGTTTCTAGACCACTTGGCGGACACTGGTAGGTGTCTGCATCACTGTGACAGTACCTGAAAATCAGGTCATGAGATGGCACAAGGGGTGGTGCTTAGGTAGTCACAGCCACTGGGAGGTTAAGGCAGGAGGATCTGGTGTTCAAGGGTAGAGTGGAGAACTTAGGACCTTGTCTCAAAAAAGAAAGAAAGAAAGAAAGAAAGAAAGAAAGAAAGAAAGAAAGAAAGAAAGGTGTGGGTGGGGCAAGGCCGTGGTAAGAGCACTCTCCTGGTGAGCACGTTGCCTGGGCCCACTCTCCCCATAGTAAAAAAAAAAAAAAAAAGAGGGAAGATTGGCTCAGTTTCAGGGTTTCAGTCCATGGTTGCTGGGCTCCATTGCTTCTGGGCTGTGGTGAGGCTGTGGTAGAGAAAAGCAGCTGGCGGCAGTTGGGGTGGGGTAGGGGTGGGATGCGTGAGACACCTATGACACCCTTGCTTCAAGAGCCCCCACCTACTGAGTTGCCAGTACCTCCCATCAGCGTCATCATCCTGTTACGGGTCCAAGTATATTAATCCACAGATGCAGTTGGAGACCTCAGAATCCAGCCCTCACCGGTGTGTGAGCCTGTGAGCCAGGGGGACACTTCCGATCCAGAGCAGGTCTGGAGCACACGTCCCATGTGTCAGGCACCCACACCTGCTTGCCGTTGCTACAGCCTGCACCAGGCCAGACGTTCTTCTCCATCCTACTGCTAGAGATGAGGATGTAACACACAAAAACTCTCAAAGTCCTACATGGGAGCCCCCAAATATTTTTACCCAGTGAAACATTTTCTCAGGCGGAATCTCAAGGGATACCCAAAGAAGCATGCAGAAATGCTGATAGAAACATTGTTACTGCAGCCCAGATGGAAACAATTCCTGTGTCATGGAATGAAACAGCTGAGTACAGCTCGGCACTTCTGTGTGGTGGGACGGTGTCCAGCGGTGGAAACAAACAATCCTGCTACTGTGAGAGTAAGGTGGATGTGCCAGAGTGTCACCTCACACTCACCCGTGTGAGGGTCTGTAGCCCTCCTGACCCCACCCTGCATGCGGGTGGTCCTGCGGCTCACTGTGTCCGGATGAGCTGTCCTCCTCTTATGCTCTTCCACCCCTTCCCGTCTCAGCGCCAGATGTCAGGTTTTGGGCCTGTGTGCAGCTGTGGTCCCGCTAGCTCACTGTGGCCTGGCACTGGGCCTTGCCTCACCTGAACTGCACTCCTGCGTGCTGCCGGGCCAGGATGCCCCAGCCTTGGTGAGCCTGGTGAACAAGTGCCTGCCTTAAGGACCTACCTGGATCTGCTGGGTGGACACAGTGAGACACAGGGGCCAGATGTGGCTGGACCAGTCTTTCCCTTGTTGGCATCGCCTTCCAGCAAAGACCAACCTTGTCCCCACCTGCACAATGATGTTCCTGTGCCCCCTGCAGCCCCCAGGCGCTGTCTGCTGAGTCCGGTCTTCCCATGGGATGTCACAGTGCCCCCTGGGGCCAGGACTGAGTGCTGCAGTGAAAGCTCAGATTCTGTCTGGGGCCCGCCCTGTCACAAGAGTGCCCCGTGAACACCTCCACCTAGCTGGTCCCTTTCTTGAGGGCTTGCATACAGCTTGGTCAGGGCCAGCCTAGAACTTGGCACTCAGAGCCACAGTGACCCAGTGGCAGAACCGCAGGCCAACACACGAGGGAGGCCTGGGCTGCCCTGGTGCACAGCTGTGTGGCTGCGGCCAGCTTTTTTGCCTCTGCAGCTCTCAGGAGACCCGTGTACTATGGGAACTGGAGCCAGAGCCCTGGCATGTATGTTGAGAGTGCTGGGGTCAGGGTGGTGGAGAGCTGGGGCAAGCGCTGGCTCTAGAAAGCAGGGCAGCCTCATTCATGGTACTGGGGCCGTGTGGAGGTGGGCAGAGACCTCTGGCTTGAGCAGACACCAGCCCTCTGTCTGGTGATGTCCATCAGGGTGCCTCCAGTTGGGTGGTGTGTGGATCCTGGGCACAGCCCAGCAAGTAGAAGTCCTCTCCGGAGTGGCCGCTCCTAGTGATAACTGTTTCCCTTGCCACTCATCGTCAGCACAGAATAAAGATGTGCGGCACCTGCAGTTGCTCTAGGCCTCTGTCACTTTGACCTTGACCTCGTCTTCTGCACTGCGTGCTGGCCTCTTCTCACTTTACTTTTCGTAGAACGCTGTTTTGAACTACAGCCTCCAACATGCTGACAGCCCACGTGGCAGTAACTCACAGGCATGACTGCTGACTGCTCCCCTGGGAACAGAAGAGCTCCTAGCTTCAGCTTTGTGTGTTCCCTGTTGCTGTGGATGTCAGCTCTGGGGTTAGATCTGTGCTTGTCACTTCTTTGACTTTGCCCTGTTGGTTTCCAGCCCCTGGATGGAGGCAGGTAATGTATACAGGAGGAAGTTGAGTAAGGATGTATTAGTTGGGGTTCTGCCACCAATAGGGCCCGCATACTTGTGAGGGAGGAGGGGACTGGCCCCTGTACTATGGCACTGAGCAGGCTGTCTGTGGGCTGGAAACCTGGGGTGCTGTCCAACTCCGAAACCCCAGAGCAAGCAGCAGAGGTGGGCCTCTCAGTGTGAGGCTGGGGACCTGGAGCCTGCTTCTTGGGGGCAGAGGAGGAGTGTCCCAGCTCCAGAGGACATGGATGGAGGGCACATCTTCCTGCTCACAGGCCGTCCCCCCGGGTCCCCTTTACTTCACACAGGTGTGTGCTGCCTGTTTCTCTAGATGCACCTCAGTCCTATTGTGGGTGACCTGCATGGACAATGGCTGTGAGTACAGGAGTGCTTGTTCCCCTCTTGGGAGTTGCATGCCAGTCTCACCCTCCTGCTTTAGCCAGACAGGTCTTGCCACTGGGCCCCACCTCAAATGTGGGCAGACATCATCCTCCAGGGAACTCGAGGCTGGCAACCCAGTGCCAGTTCAGCACCCCAGAGGCCTTGGCAGGCTGAGCAGGGGTCCTCACCATGTGACGGATACACCCCAGCTCAGGGCCAGAGGACTTTGTGCAGGTGTGGTCTCCATTCCTGTTTGCTGGCTGTCTTGGGTTAGAAAGGGCAGCCAGGATGGAAAGTATGCCGTCAGTGTCGGCCACAGCAGTGGTGTGAAACACAGCGTGACAGGTGCAGTGAGAGACTGGTGTGTGAGACAGTGAAGTGTGGTGTGAGAAACTCAGTGTGACCCTGGGTGTGAGACCTGGAGTTCTGGAAGGCCCCCCATGGCCTGCCCAAAGTCAGGACTCAGGGCTTGCTGTGCACGGGCTTGTTTAGATCTGGAGGAATGAGAGGGGACTATACCAGATGTGCCATGAGAGACTGAAGAGGAGTCTGAGCTGTCGGCAGGCAGCTGGGCATGGGAGCCCCGGGGACACTGCCCACTCGTGCGAATCGGCTCTTGTGCCTTGGCATCCCATTCTTCCTTACCTGTGTGTTGCTCATAGGGACAAGGGTAGCCTCCTAGGCAGTGAGGCTGTCTTCACGGGCCCTCCACACCAGAATGAACTGGGCTTTGGGGGAGGAGCTGACCTGCAGTTCCGAGTTAATGTTGGCCCTTGGCAGGGGATCGCTGTCAGGATCACACCCCCACCTGGGGGCGCTCAGCTCTCTTAGCCTTCTCCTGAATTGCCTTTCGAGGCACTTCCTGTTGAGAGGGGAAAAGGAGCACACTGCTTGTGGCCAGGGTAGCTTTAGAATTCAGCAGAAATGCTCACCCACGAGTGCATTTGGGAGACTCTAAAGGCGTCTCAGCTCAGCTAATTACTCCAGAATGAAAAGCGGCAGCTAATTCTGGCATCAGCTCATTCCTGCTCAGCCCACTCAGCTCAAAGCCACACTTGCTTTTTTATCTTTCAAATCCTTCAAGTGAGAGAAATTAAGGCACTAGTCTGAAGCTATTGAGAATTCTTTCCTCTGGGAAGCAAAGGCCA